GGATAGGGCCCATGAATCTGTATTTTAACAAGTCATTCAAGTGACTGTGACTCACACTAAAGTCTGAAAGCCACTGTTGGGGGCTCTCATACATATTAACTCATCAAGAGTTTTCACACCTTAGTAGAAAGCCATTGTATTATTATGCTATGGAAATCCCTATCTGTTTTCTCAGCTTTAAATTGAACTGTCAGACATCCTCTTCCTGTTATCTTAACTTGTTATATGCCCAATCCCAAATGAGTGAAGCTATATAATGAGACCCAGGAAGGGGATTAAAAACAAACAAAAAAACAAAAGAAAGCCCACTACCATTAAGCCAGTTCTGACTAATAGCAATCCCATGTGTTACAAACAAAACGGCTCCATATGGTTGTAAGCTTTATGGAAACAGATTTTGAGGCCTGTCTTACTTTGTGGTGCAGGGTGAGTTCAAACCTTTAGGTTAGTAATTAAGTGTGAACCATCTGTGCCACCAAGGACCTTCAGGAGGGAATACAGGAGAATGGGGAAAAACATACATACACTACATAAAAATGATGATAAAGCAAAAGACATTGTGGCAAAGGCTCTTATTACAAAACAAAATTATCCCGAATAAAGGCTTTGCATTGTTAACTCCTGTTCATCCTCAGATCCTTTCTCTATAAATATCACATTAAAAAAAAAGACCTTATATACATGTAGTAACTTAGGCACACAAGAAGAAAAAAGCATTCACTAGCTACACACTAACAGATTGTCATAAATTCATAAAAAGGCCATGTAGTTCAGAGTAGTGACCCTTATGGAATATATTTATAATTAAGCTTTAATTTAATCCTTTTATTGCAAAAAGTTATTCAAAAAGAATTTCCCAGAGAGAATGATTTTCTATCTTATCATTTTAAAAGATGCATCAAACCCAAAGGGGTAGATTTTGGAAAGCACTAATATGAATACAAACAAGGCTCATAATTTATCTGGTAGCGTAGTGGTTACGAATCGGGCTGCGAACCTTAAGGTCAGCGGTTCGAAACTACCAGCCGCTCTGCGGGAGAAAGATGAGGCTTTCTACTCCCGTAAAGATTTACACCCTCGGAAACCCTGTACAGGGTCGCTATGGGTCGGACCCGACTCGATGGCACTTAACAACAACAACAACAAATCTCCTACCCCAAAATTGAAAAGGCTTTCAAGAACAGATAGGATTGATGTTTAAGCCCATGTCACTTCTACAAAAAAGCCATGATTTCCACAGGGGTGTCAAGCTGTAGGGTTAATATTGCACTGCTAACAGTCAGTGGTTCAAACCCATCAGCAGCTCCTTGGAAACCCTATCCAGGTCGCTATGAGTTGGAACCAACTTGCCAGCACTTAACAACAATACTCCTTCATGCATCTATTCATATTGAATGCCACATAGTCTCCTCTACTAATGTCCCAAGCCCTCACCTCCCCAGGCCAAGCAAGGACAAGCATATAATCATAGCAATGAATCACTACTTCTGCTTTTTTAGTTTTTGTTAGCTTCCGTTTACCAATTTAGACTCATAATCTGTGTCTGTGTGTATAACAGGGATTCTTGTTGTTTAGAGTCATCGAGTTCTGACCCACAGCGACCCTGTTACAGGATTTCCAAGAAGCGGCGGCTGAGTTTAATTGCCGACCTTGAGATTCAAACCGACACTGCAGTCCAGCGCATTAACCCGCAGTGCCAGATTCAGATCGTTTTGTATCAATATACATATATACATATATAATGATCTTAAAATATATATATTGCTGTTAAGTGCCATCAAGTTGATTCTGACTCTTAGTGACCCTGTATGGGGTTTCTGAGGCTTTAAATCTTCCCAGGAGCAGAAAGACTCATCTTTCCCCCTCAGAGTGCCTGGTGGGCTCGAACTATGGACTTTGTGTTTCTCAGTTCACTGCTTCTTGTATGGGAGAAAGATGAGGCATTCTACTGGCACAAAGATTTAAAGCCTCGGAAACCCAATACAAGGTTATGAGTCAGAACTGACTCCATGGCACTTAACAACAATAATTGATGCTAAAATATTATCACGGAGTCCTGGTGTGGCGCTGTGGATTAATGCGCTGGACTTCAAGGTCAGTTTGAGGCACAAGGTCATTGGTTCAAGCTCACCAGTCACTCCTCAGAAACCCTATACAGTGTCGCTGTGACTCAGAACCTAGTAAACTGCCCTTAACACCACCACCACCAAGAAGATATTATCATGTATGTATAATACATGATTATGTTATTAAATATTCATCAAAAGCATAATTTTTGAAGAAGAAGAAATATTCCATCCAATGATATAATTTCTTCAGAGATTCCTATTACTGGATAGTAAGGTTATTTTCCATTTTTTCACAATTATAAATAAAGTGACAGTGGACATTTCTGCACATGAATCTTTGTCGACACCTTTAAATATTTTCTCAGGATAAATTGCCAGAAAATAAATAATTGGGTGAAAGAAAAAGAACACTATTTTAAGCCTTTGGTAGTCAGTGCCAAAAGGCTTTCAAGAAAGTTTGCACTAATTTTCCCTCCCACCAGGAGAAGAGTGTTATTCTGTCTTTGACACAAGAAAATCTGGCCTCAAAACAGTCAACTTAACAGTGAAGCATTAGAGCAGTCTTTCTCAACTGGGGCGATTTTGCTCCCCAGGGAGCATTTAGCAATGTCTGGTTTTCACAACTGGAGAAATGATGCTGTGCCTAGAGGACAAAGGCCAGGGATGCTGCTAAAATCCTACATTGTACAGGATACCCCTAACCCACAACAAAGAACTGTCCATCTCAAAATGCCAATAGTGTTGAGGTACAGCAGAAACCCGGCTCCATAAGTATTCTCCTTATAACAGGCACCAAACATATATATGTGTGTGTGTAAGTACAATTGTACATTTAGAAATACAACAGAATTTATTTTCCGCTTCCCAGTAAAGAGCAGACTACCTACCAGGTAAAATCGACTGGATATTACCCACAGGTATTTACATATTTATTAATTCAAATATTTTACTGAGTGCCTATTAGGTGCCTGGCATTGTGCTTCTTGTTGTTGTTGTTAAAGTGCCATCGAGACAGTTCTGACTCATAGGGACCCTGTATAGGGTTTCCATGGAGTGGCTGGTGAGGTTGAACTGCCAGCCTTGTGATTCAAAGCAACCTTGCAGTCGAGTGTTTATCCTACAGTGCCAAAGCACTAGACACAACAGTGAAGCAGAGAGACAATGTCTCTTAGTTCATGGAACTTACACTTGAGTTTAGTTGAGGCAAATGGAAAAAAAAATCATATAAATAAGGTGACAATATCAACTGGTGATAAATTCTATGGAGAAAAAATAAAATCGAGGCAAGTACTAGCACTGCTGGCACAACAGATAAGAATTCAGTTGGCAGCTAGCATCCAGCAGCTACCTGGGGGAAAACACCAACAATCTGTTTCCATAAAGATTGTTGCTGTTGTTGTTAAGTATTGCCAAGTTGGTTCCAACTAATAGTGACCCTGTCTAGGGTTTCTGAGGAGTAGCTGGTGGGTTTGAACTGCTGACCTTGTGGTTTACAGCCGAGTGCTTATCCTATAGCGCCTCACCAAGAGTCTCAGCCTAGAAAACCTTGTGGTACACCAATGTTTATTGCAGTACTATTCATAGCATCCAAAAGGTGCAAACAACCTAAATGGCCATCAACAGAAGAATGGATAAACAAAATGTAGTACATACACACAGTGGAATACTACCCAGCAAGTAGGAGAAATAAGTATCAACATATGCCACAATATGGATGGAGCTAGAAGACGTTATGCTGAATGAAATAAGTCAATCACAGAAGAGCAAATATTGTATGACTTTGTTTATATAAAAAGACAAGAAAAGGCAAATGTACAGAGAATAAAGTTTATTAGTGGTTACTAGAGGGAAGAGAACCCTAAGGTGGTGCTGTAGGATATGCCAGGATTGGTAACCAAGAAGTCAGCAGTTCAAACCCACCAGTTGCTCTTGGAAACCCTATATAGGAGTACTATCAGTTGGAACGAACTCGAGGGCATGCAAAACAATAGAGGTAGGAGGGAAGGGAAAAGGAGAACTTTTACTAGTGATAGAAAAATAGTTTTGAATAAGGACAGGGTTGCACTCATTTGATTATTATAATGACTGTCAATAAATTGTACATTTGTGAAAAATTGAGTTGACAAAATGGTGTGATAAATATATTTACAAAAATAAAGGAATATCAGTCGG